GATCATTGCCTTTAACAGCAATGAACAAGTACGGGAAAGTGAAAAAGGTGAAAACTCTTGAAAAAAATGAATAGTGATAGACTTCTAAGTTTGCTAAAGGGACCAATCGTGCAGAGTATAGGTCTGTAACCCTGGTCTTCTGTAATCAGAGTCTTCTGGTATTTGTTCAAAATGGGATCGTAATTACTTAATTACTTGCTTCATCTGGAAATGTTAAAATTTCTAAATCTCTGCTTGTTGAATGTTTTGGACTACTGATAAGGAAAGAATGAATAAGGCTCTCTAGGGACAGGGCCATGCTTGCAGACCTCTGCCTTAGAGGATAAACAGCCGTGATTAAAAATGAACATAGTATTTTAAGGAAGAAAAAAAACTCTGCAGTAGAACATTAAAATTATCATGTCCCCTGTTGTGTGGTGCTTTTGAAAAGGTCAGTAAGTGCTCAGAAACATATATGAAGTGCTCAGAAAAACACATTACACATATTTGTCGTTCCATAATATTGTCCAGACAACCCTAAAATAATTAATGTACTGTATACTGTATATTAAATTCAGATGGTTTTAATCAAATTCTTCTAGTTCGGATAGTTATTAAACAAAACCACAGAGCAAGAATAAACATACCAATTAAAGAATCAAGGTGATTCTTACCATGATGAATCCACATGTTCTATAAGTATTTCATCAAATCTTTTTAGGTGCAGAAGGGGATTCATCATAAGTAAACACACCACTCCCAGGAGACAGCAATGTCAATATTATGTCTCGGTTGCCAACATAACCCCTGAATGTCCTCTAGGCTTGCACAATATTTTCATGTAAAGTCAAGCAAGTTAAAGTATTTTTACTGATGTCCAGGGTAGTTCTTCCAATAAATTTTCTTGTTGTAGCAACTGCATTCAGAAAACAATTACACAAGTGGATCTGACAAATGTGACTGTCCTGGACCTTCTAGGATGTGACCCGCCAAAGTGCCAGGTTTCTAGGACATTTCTCTGCTGATTGGTGCTTGGTGAAGCAGAACATCTCATTTTCTGGGCAACATCTCTCACAGACAGGCTGCCATCAATCGTGTTGATAGCAGCCAGGTGATTTTCATTATTCAGGCAGGTCATGGTCATTTACCTCATCAATTATCTTTGATCCCCTGGAGTCCAAATCCAAAGTGGGGCACTGCTCTTGTAGCTTTGAGCAAGGTAGTAGGTGACTTCAGTAACATATCCAACTGTACAAATGAAAGTGGCTTTAAAAAACCATCAGCCGTATAAATTAGTAATACTATTTAGTGTAACAGTACTGAAGTAATGAATTAACCTATTTGCTTATAATTTAAAATGCAATTACTGTATGGTCAGTATGCACCCGAAGACATACTGGTGTAAAATTAATATTTTTTTATTTTCATTTTGTGTCAGCATATAAATTCATTTGTGATAAATGAGCATTAGACAGTTACAGTAATAAACAACATTCCACCACAACCTAGATACTCAAGACTGCCCAGAATAAGCGTAGAATGTGACTTGTCCTAGATTAAGCTCCTCCAGGCTATTTCTATATAAACAACAGATAAATCATTTAGAATACGCTGTATATACACATACTGTACTGTAAAATAAACTTGCCTGAAACATTCAGCTTTAACCTGAAAAGTAATAGTGTGTATAACCAGTAAATCTGCTATTTGTATGAGTAAATTTAACTTTTCCTACATTTTGACTGGAGAAAAGCATTACTTTCTGGGTAGCTCTTTTTTGATGCTAGAATTGAGAATGAGATAGGGTGAGAATGAGTCAAATTCTCCCAATACATAGCTCAAAAATAATAAAACATCTGCTACTAATAGATTTATGTACATGTCTTACTGGAAAGAGAGAAAGATGCATTCGTGCATTTCCAAAAACCACACAGCTGGGAGCCATCATGTTGTTACTTAATTCTTGTATTTCAGATATTTTTCTGTGCTCACAAAGTGATTTTTTTTTCGCTGGAATATTTTTTGATAGTTGTGATGGAAACATTTATTTTTGACACAGGAGTCAATGTGTGCTCATCTCAGTTCTGTGTAGTATAGTCTGGGACCTGGGTTCGCTACTGGACTTGGGGTGCTATCTGTGTGGAGTTTGTATGTTCTTCCCGTGTTCCCATGTCCTCCCACAGCCCCACAACAGACTGGTAGGCTAATTTCAGTAGCATCTGGGAAATCTGTCTGTCTTTGCGTCGGCCCTGTGATGGACTGGCTTCCCATCCAGGGTGTACCTTGCCTTGAACCATTTTTTTGCTGGGATAGGAACAGGCTCCCAGGCAATCCTTAAATAAAAGAAGCACTAAGAATGGATAGATGAATGGATGATCTAATGCTGCAAAAATGCTCTCTTGATGTGTGAAATTGCAAGCATTCAATGCACCTTAAAGACTTGTTAACAATTAGACGCATGGTATCAGAATACTGTATCATGGTACCAGTGATCAAACTAGATCAAAGGAACAAGCAATACTGTAGGTTTACTCCATGCTGAACAAAAGAAGAAAGAAAACACAACATTTCCGCTGTGGAGCCTTCTTCAGGTGTGAGAGAGACAGGGCAGTAGGCAAAGGTAAAGTAGAGGGAGAACAAAGGCTGGGAGGGAGGAGGAGGAGTGAGAGGCAGGAGCACGGGACAGAAAGAGAGGCCAATCAAGCCTTTGTTCTCCCGCTTCATTACCTTTGCCTACTGCCTTGTCTCTCTCATACCTGAAGAAGGCTCCACGGGTGAAACATTGTGTTTTCTTTCTTCTTTTTTTCAGCATGGAAGAAACCTATTATTTGTTCCTTTTCAGCCTACGCTTGCTGACACAGCTACCCACCTGAACTACTGTACTACGAATTAGATCAAGTACAGTAGATTAACATAATTGATACTACAATAATTATACCACTATAGAAGTTATTACAGAAGTTATACACTCATAACTAACTGTTTAAGAACTAAGCGTTAATAATTTTACAAATGTTCCTTGACTTTAATGAAAGCTAGTGAAAAATAAACTTTGTATACCAAGTCGAGTGGAATCTGCCATCTAGTGGCTATTATGTGTTTCAAAACTGAAGTAGAATTAAATGTTCCTTAAAATTTGTTGCACTCTATTCAAGACTGACATTGCTACGACCTCAATAAATCTAGAGTTGTTTTTTTTTTTCCAGTTGTCATATTTTTCGTTCATGTGGGATTTCTCTGTGTACTCCAGCTTCCTTCAAACATTCCAGAAACATGCTAGCTAGGTTAACTGGTGTCTTTAAATTTTAAATGGTCCCTGTGCGCCCTGCAAATGACTGATGCTCCATCTGAGCCATAATCTTGCCCTTTGCACAATGCTTTCTGAAGCAATGCATTTTTACAGCAGTCCTTAGTAGGTACAGTAGCTCCCTGGTAAAGAATTAATGGTCAATTTAGAGATCATTGCAAGAATATCATTTTTTTTTTTGCATTTGAAAGTTATATAGAAATAAAAATGTTAACTATTTGAAGGACACACTGTTTTCATGCACACCTACCTGTTAACATTTAAAGATAAGAAAGGTTTACAAAAGGTTGTTCAAAACAGTCTATTCAGCATGCTATTATTTTGTTGTTAGTAACACTGTCATCTCAAAATATATATACAGTACATACTGCTTTTTTGTATTACAAAAACTCAGATTTTAAAAATTCGTATATGAATTTGTATTGTATTTTACATCTGAGTAGAAACCACAAATGACAAAGTTCTTCATTTTAATAAAAAAAAAGTTTATTAACAATGTAAAATGGTGTATATTCTTGTTTGATCTACCTCCAGCATGCCCTAAACATTAAATACTATATTGATAAGCAAGTACCGTGCTTTGCCCTTCCATGGGATATAAAAGATCATTTAGAGTGTTTTGCCACCAGATTTTGTTCAATCATTTGAATTGAAACAGAAAAGTTGTCTTTTAAAATAATAATATAATGATTATGTAATGATTCAGTATATATATACAAGGTTAATAGATTGATTTACATATACAGTATGTGCAAAAGTTTATTTCAATATTATATATTCCTTGGAAATGTAAAAGAAAAATTGGGTACAGATTTCCGGTATATGGAAGACTAAATAATGATCAGTATATACTGTAGTTATGGAAAGGAAAAAAAAAGTTTCTCCTGTACATGGCTTCTATATGCAGTGTTTGATTGATGCAATGAGTTAGTTAACACTGCTGCTCAATCTTAGTTGGTTAATTTTCTTCTTTCTCTGTATTGAAATACCATATATACTGTAGTATAGTATATCCTATTAAGGGTACCCTTGGTACTTAGAATGCCCAAAAATTCATCAATGTTTGTGGAAGGGCTGTTTGATTCAAAAGAAGCATTAGATTTAGTCTTAGTTCTTAAATATACAAATAATAATGAGATTAATAACACAAGGATCTTAGTCTGCCTGAACAGAAGTGTAACTACTGGAGCAATGTGGGGGAGGGGGCAAACTAATTCCACATAGTTTCATCTGCTCACATTGCCTTAAAGTGGCCATGCAATAATATCACTCCAATTACAAAAATGGAAAAAATCTTTATAAAGCATCTTAATCAAAATTAGAGTAAAATATATAATTCAAAACTATCCATTCGGCAATTTTTAAGAACTGTTTTTGTATTACAAAATAAAAAATAGAAAATGGACAGCCTTTTTGAACGGAACAGAAGAGTTTAGAAATGGCAGTAATATTTTGTAGGGCAACATACAAGTTGGTTCAATGTTTCTGATTGTTGTTTGCTCTGATATGGATCCTAATTTCGGTTTTTGCAGGATGTTTTAACTTGACACAAGGCAGCAAAGTCCGAAGAATCGCCTCTTTCTTCTTCTGACTAGGGGGTATGGAGTCAGGTTCAGGAGGCTGCTGTCATCTATGACAACAAGAAGAAAGAGAAGGTTGATCACCATTTAAACAAAAAAATCTGGAAACTCTTTTGATGATGAAAATCAGAAATTTACTGGTATTGCAAAAAAACAAATGATTATTGTTAATGATTTAGTTTACAAAATTGGCCCAAAAATCTATATATTATTTACAGGATATTTACAAACCTTTGCAAATACTCAAATTTTAAAAGACACAATATGTTAAATGTATATCAATATTGTTCAATTAAGTAACTATGTGTTTTATGAAGTAAAATGTTACTTTTTCAAGACCATCTTTAACAGTACAAAACCAAATAAAAGATATTTATTAACTTATCTTCTATTTCAACGCAATGAGCACAGCTGATATTATGACCTAGTAGATAAGCCTTCTTCCTATTATGTTAAAAGAGGCCCATTGTATACTGAGTGGTACTAAAACAGAACAAATTATAACTGTCTATATGTACAATATACTCTCATCGTTTTGTTTTAAAATGCCCCACAATTAAAGGTGCGGTGTTTCTGTATAACTTTATAGTAAACTCAGAAGTGATTAACCATGGCAACGGGCATAAAGGTAAGGTCGAACAGAAGGGAATCTATTATCAGAGGCCTTTGAAAGAAATGGCGCCCTAAAGATTTCTTTTTACATTAGTAAATTAAGTTTGATTTAAAAGGAGAAAGTCCATGTTGGATTATTAGGAAGGGAAAGATCTGATAAAAACATACAAACAATGAGAAAGGTTACAAATGAGAGGAGGCCCATCTTCCCTGTTTTGGTTATGATTATAAATGTCTCCAGATGTATATGACTAATGAAGACAAAGAGATGGTAGATGATTGTTTCAAGAACCCTTAGAGTTTCATGCAAATGTTTTTCATGTTTTTGTTTAATTTAACAAAACGTTTGGATGAGTGTTAAAAAAGAATGCAATACGCTGGAAACAACAGATCTTACTTGATACTTGAGTGAATAAAGGAGATTCTAATGTTACATACCTTGATTTTTTAATGGTAAAGGCATAGTCTCCCTGAGTTTGCTTAGAAGATTTTTCATTTCCCGCATATCTCTGTCAAAGCACAGATATAATTTTATACTTTTTTATATCTGCAGACATGAATTATAGATTGTTAAGTTTGTGTGGTCAATTTCCCATAGATCTTGCAAAGCTACAGAATATACAGTATACTGTATACTAAATATTAGTATGGAATCTCTTCTAACAATAAAAATACATAGTTATTACCAGAGAAAAGAATCTTTTTTGTCGCAGGAGCATGGGCATTTTATTGAACAAACATAAATTCATTGTGCTGATTAATATTTCTCATCAAAAAAATCTACTCTGAAAGAAGCTGGCTAATATCATATATGGCCGCTGCTGGAAACCATAAAATCAATACACATCTCTAAAGTATACCGGACCAGGTTTCAGGTACTCTTGTGAGATTCTGACGCAATCCAATCCTAGTGCTGGAAAAAGGCACGAGCTTATTTACTGGTCTCAGAAACTTAAAAGCCACACATTGTCTTTGCTCATCAAACAAGTGTTCTCTGGGGCTCAATTCCAACATAACTCCATTCTGTGGCATACAGTACCACATTTTTGTTTTATAAGAATGCTGCCAGGATGATCAGGTTGTGTGTTGTCCTACTGGAATGTTGTCATGTTGTTATGTGACCTTAGGAAGGTTAGTAAGTGAGGTTCCATGAGTTGACCCATATACTGTAGTATCATGCAGTTAGGTTGCCATCAATCACTTCTAGTAACGTTCTGTAGTGACCAGGCAGTCCTGCCCAGGCCATCACACTTGGACTAATCCATCAAAAGGTCTGTTCCTCAGAACAATTAGAATATTGTTTTGCACATCTTTGCCACACTTTCTGACATCTATGGATGGACAAAACTACTCAAAACTTTGTAGGGGAAGCATACTGTGCTGCTGATTAGTCCACCTAAGGTGACTTAATTGAGCCTCCAGTATACAGAAGGCACAAAAGTGGTCCCTTTCCATGTTTTTCTATCTTGATTTTCATTAGGCATTCAAAACTTTCAGGAGTTTAAATCACCACATCAAGTGCGCCCAATCAACTATCTCTCTAATGAGATGAATAAACACCTTTTCAAAAACATCAACAGCAGTTCTGTTTCATCCTTTCCAGTTCTAAAGAAAAAAGAAACACATCTGACCAGGTCATGACCTGAAAAGAATACGTGCAGAGCTGCACCACATTGGTCATTCAACCATCATTAGATAATGTCCATTTCTTGGGCTGCAGTCAATAAACCATATATCATATGTACTGTATGATAGATTTAACATTTTGTATTAGAAAGTCACAGAAAAGTCACCTTAATGTATGGTGAACAACATATCTGTACATAGGGAATATAAAAAACACCTAAATTTGATTAGGTATTAAACCAACATGTTCCTGCAGTCTACATTTTGACATGGCAGTTGGGACGTTCCATATGATGGTTGCACCAATGAAATATGTTTATGCTTAATATATTTTGATAGGTTTTGCATATTTTTTAAACTTTCTCATACAGTACACACCTTTGCTAATGTCACATCATCAAATATTAACATGGAAATTTCAAATAATTTTTTTAATTAACTTTTTAAAGTATCTTTAAAATTTAAGTTAAAATTAGAGTACCTTTCAGTGTTTTCAATATCTGTGGAAACCTGCCAGGAATACTGATGATAATCTACTGGTGAGGATGATGTGTCTTCCAATATTGGGATCTCAGAGCTCTCCTCCATTTTACAGTCCAAGATTTTGGGAACAGTACATGTCTCCTTACCTGGAAAGAGAAGTTCGAACAGTGACACACCCCATTATCCTTTACAACTGGTATGGTAATACTTAATCACTTCAGACTCTTAAACTGTTATTATGATAATTTTAGCACTAAACACGTTTCTCACACAAACTTTCTTCTAATCTATTGAATTAGCTTTGTCTTAATCTATTTGATTCATTATGATTTTTGAACACCACACCTGAGGAGCTGCATCAAACCATGACCGTTATGTCAAGATGGGTATGATCAATCTTCTTTCCAGACCACAGACTTTGACTTTATACACCGAGATATCTAAGCATCCAGACTCTAATTAGGAACTATAGAAAGCAACATTAGCCTGAGGTTTAGCTGTGAGAGGTGAAGGCAAGATGGATTCTTATGCTCCAGATGGTTTTAGTTCTGCTGTGGATATTTCTCACTTGTTGCCTTTAGAATTAGTTGCCCACAGAATTGCACTGTGAAAAGACTCCCTGAGTTGGCTATTCAAAATGCAAATGTTAAGATATTAATACTCTGTATATTGTTAACAAAATCACTCCACAAGAACATGATAATGAGCTCATGAGTTGTGCCAAACTGTGATGCTAGTGCTAAATTCCTGAATAAAGCATGATTCTAAATTGGCACTTCAGTGTTAATATTGCTGTGTTACCGCAGTATAAAAATGTTCCAATATCAATACAATAATCAGTCGTTAATATATTTGCCCGAGTGTTCGTGGTTTGAAGAGTGATAAAAAATGAGCTCTTTATTTTTTAATCTACAAAAAACATGCTATAGAGTAAGGTTTTCACAAAGCAAAGTGAGATGTTAATAGAAATATGCTTAATATAAAACATCACAAGCACCTTTTCTGTGTAACTGAAGGGATCCTAAAAGACACACAGATTTGAGCATTTCCGTGATATACATTTCTAGACAACACTGCAACTGTATAAAAAGCCGGCAGATTTCTGGATGAATTTCTCCATCTTCTGGCCTGAAAAACACAAAGAAGTACATGTATATGAACATGTTGCTGCTTATTTAATTAATCTACACTTCTACAAGAATACGTTTGTGTCTACTCATCCAGTGGATTGGAAACTCAGTGGGGTATCAAATGGTATCATGGGAAAGAAGATGGTTTAAAATACTAAATCATGGGAAATAAAAAAAACCTTATTCAGATACAGATTTCAGAGACGTTCTTCTAAAAACTGATTGAAGACATTTAAAAGCTCCTTTTGTTTAAACAGAAATGACTAATACAGTAAAAGTGTGTAATAATTCATTATTTCGTGTTTTGCTTTTCATTTCCTTTTACATGGCCTCATTTATGCATGATTGTAAGTTGTGCTGGTTCTTCTAGTGAGGAACAAAACATCATATTCTGTTTTGTTTTTAGAGAAATGATGGCAGGTTGTGTATAACATTTCCTATGCACCCATTAAAGACAGCTACAGTATCTAATACATTTTACTGAATCCTGTCTTCTCATTACTGGTTAATGCAAAAGAAAGACTCAGTTCTAAGACATTACTTTAATTATGAGAGTTTTTTAAATGTATCTTTCCAGCAGCTCTGACCCAACCTTAATCCCCACTCTCCTAACTGCCTAGAAATCTCCACTTTCAGTCTTCACAGAACTGCACTCTTTCTGCACTCTTTTCTCATGAGGATGCTCTGTTCGGTCATGTTACACAAGGTTTTGCACCAGAAGCTCAACGCATCTAATAGACGGAAACTGACCCTCTATAAATTCTGTGGTGGCTGGGTAGAATGTTGCATGGAGCACTTAGTCGAAAAAAAGTCTCAATTAATGTACCTCATAATATGATACAAGACTTTGTACAACCCGTGACATATCATCTGCCTGTAGTATCGCTTTACCACGTCTATTCAGGTCATTAACCAAGACCTGGCTTCCATTTTGTGTGGTTTCAGGAACATCTTTATACCAAACTTGATTTCCGGGACTTTCTATAACCTTTGCAATTTGCCATTTCAAATCCTACTTAATCTGCAGTGTTTGTCCTTTGCCTTCAAATTGGACTTTTATTGTCTTTAGCACAGTTGGTGCTTAAAGACAGCTGTATCCACTCTGTAGGCACTTCTAATTTCCCCAGTATTCTCCCCTACACAGTTTTGCATCAATGTGAGATCATGCATTTACAGTACTGTGTGCCTTTAAAGTCACTTTCCAGAGGACACTTTTAGTTCACTAACATCTCTTTTGTCTCCACTGAAAAAAAAAAACACCTATTGTCCAAATAATCTGGAGGATAGAAAGGCTACATGCAGAAAAAAATTAGCAGCTACTATTTTGCTTTGTGATATTTTTTACTTATGCTGCTATTTTTATTTTGATGCTGTTTTTTGCAGGCCTTATTTTCTTTATAATACAGTATATTGTACTGTATATAAATTGTCATGCACCCTGGAAAAGAGCAATTCCTAAGCAAATAATAGTCAAAACAGGAATTAGAAAATGTTGTTGGTACAATTAATATACAGCACAATACAATGATGGCTATACTATGCACCTTCTTAAAAACAGACATATTTAGTATACAGAAAACAATGAAATTGCTTAGTTTTCCCAATTTATTGTCCCTGTTTTAACACATTTTTGCTTTTCACAAAAATTGATTTAGAATTTTTCTGATTTTGACAGAAATCGAGGAGAGCTGCCTTGTCTGTTTTCCTGCCTATTAAAATACATCTACAGTATGCCAGTACAGAGGATAAGAGGATTTTTACTACAAAGTGGTAGAATACTGAAAACCTGGCAAAGACGAGCTTTGCTTGGTGTTCCATCCTATTTATTGCCCTCATTGCCTTGTGGGAAAAAAAAAGAACTTGCCAAGAGAAAATTGGAAGACTGCCACTGCCTCATTCGTAATGAAATCATAAAAGTAAAAAAATAATGCAAATATGTGCAAAGCAGGGTATTAACACTAATAATGTTCCATCATATACACAAATATCCGTGTAGTCCTTACTGCACACATGAATATGGTGACCACTATTGAACAATGCTGCACAGTTCAACACTATTGTACGAGAGAACTGAACTAAACAAACTTCAACTTTGAATTATTGTACAGTTACCTGAGCAAGGTCTGTTATATAAGAAGATATAATGTTTGTGCTGACTGCCACATGTTACGGTGAACATGTTACGGCCGAGTTCACTGCTCTTGGTCTCCTCGGAGATCAGTCACATTTGCAGGAGAAGCGCAGCACTGACCGGGCGGGGCTACACGCAACAGATTTAACAGCTCTCCTAGCCACCTGCTATGCATTGACGTTAATGAGCACAGTATTTAAGCCCCACAGCATTGTTGCTCGAGGGATGGTTATTGAGCTGTTCTCTGTTACAGTCTGTTTGACCATCTTGCTTTCTGGCGATCCTGTGCAATCCCTCTTAACTGGCTGTCGGTGCAGTCCTGTTCCTCTTTCCTACTCCGGTCCTGCTTTCTGGTTATCCTGGCAGCTACTGTACATTGCTCCATTTGCTCCTTGTACAACTATCTCCCTTTAAATAAACCAACCTGTATGGCACTCATACACACATGGATCCCTCCATTACTCAGGAAGAATGGGATCTTCATAAAGGAAATTGTCATTATATGGAATAATTTAATATCAATAGGTTAATTATGTAAGCTCCATGCTTTTTGAATTAGCAAAAGCCACACACATTTGAGATGAAATCACAATAGTACAGTGCAATGTGGTCATTTAAATGAAAGAATTGACCAAATATTTGAAATATTTAGAAAGAAAGCTATGACTCAAGAAATATGTTGTATTTTCATCTTTGAGTGTGGTGAATTATTTTACAATGGGAGCAGACAGTTGTGTGTTTCTTTAAAAAATATGAAAAGCCGTTAGATGGAGCTATTGTGCCAATTAACATTTTGATCACTGGCCAATCCCAAAACAATGCACAAGAAAATCACATCAGAATTAGGACACCTTTCTCTGATGGCAGTTAAATTTAACATTGTATTTTTAGTGATGCAGCTGATGACAGGTTCACAAGTCTGGTATAAACAAAGTCACCATTAAAAAAAAGAACCTCCGTTAATGACATTCTGGAATGTCTGAACCATGCAGAATTCAAAAGATATTTAGTCAAAGGTAAGCAGCTAGTAGATACTAGTGTGTTGTTATTGCCGTGGCTGCTGCTGTTTTAGAATAATCGTGATAGTTACTGCTGCATGCTCTGTTTAAAAAACATTCCCCAGTCAACTACTGCACACTGGTGGTGGTGGAGGGGAGTCCCCATTACCTGTAAAGCACTTTGAGTGGAGTGTCCAGAAAAGCGCTATACTGTATAAGCGTAAGCAGTTATAATTATTATTACAGTTAATCAGTCTGGAGGATGCATGTTTTGAATGTGGTAAACTTTCCTTCAAATATCTTTAATTTTTTTTTTCATTTATATACTATTAGTTGTTTTTTTTAGTCGTTGCCAAAAAAAAATGTAGTATTGGACATTTCCCAGGTCTCCTCTCCCCCTGTGTGTGCTCCTCTGTATGTGGGGTTATCTTCAGATTGACATCGAATAGCAAAAACCTAGGTTTTTTAGCTTTTATTGTGAGCACAAATCCATACACTTTAGAAGCTAAAATACTGGTTTGCTTGAAAGGACACCATAAACTATGACACAAGGACATATAGTGCACTGTATGACCACATACTGTAGGAAGAGGCAAGATGTAAGTGGTTTATGCGTACATATTATACACAATATACAGTACATATAATTGCTATAGTTTACTGAGTGTGTCAAACAACAGCTCTGACCTAAAGAATGTTTTTCTCCCTCCACAACAGACTTGGGGTCCTCCAGGCATAATAAACAGCTTGTGCACAACACCCTTTATCAGATAGCTCTTCCTTTCATTTAAACTGCAGGCTGTTTTCATTTGATAAAAAAGAAGCCTCCCTTGCTTCTAATAAAATCCCATGTGTAATGCCACAGTGAAGCCTTATTAGAGGGATATCAAGATGATGAAGGCAAATGTGCAACTAAAAAGGTCAGAGTAAATGGGCATTTTGATTATTGGTTAAAGGAGTAGCAGAAAGAACCAGCATCATGTTAACTGTATGATCACAAGGTTTGGTCAAATAGGACACAAGTACAGACTGCAATGAAAATCATTCCCTTACATGTGAAATGCATAAAATAAGGTATATGCTACAACATAATTGTTTGTAATTACATTTCATGCAATTTGGCACCACAATAGTTACAGTATTTGTTTGCCTTTCATTTTTAATTCTTCTGAAAGTTCTCCTATTAAATTGTTCATCATTCTACAATGCTCAAACCCTTGAGTTCTGTGGGTTCAGTTATTGCCTAGTAGAGTCTATGTAATGCTTAGTGTGACCAGGATTCTTCATGTCATGGTAAAAAACTGGCAGTATTACACAGGGCAAAAAAATTGCCTTGTGATTTGCACTATTTTCACTATCTGCACTTTGCACTATGTGTATCCTGTCTACAATATCTACATGGATGTCAGTCTCCTGTCTGTATTTTCACCGTGGACCAGGAGGAACAATATTTCCTTCTACTGTATACTTGTATATGGCTGGAGTGACAAATAAATGTGAACATGAACTTGAACATAGATTATCCAGGGTCATAAGCTATTCAGGGCATACTGTAAGTCTTATACATGGCAAAATAGTGGCTCCTGTGACAAGCTAATTGAAATATCAGTGAGGAATTTGGGTGTCCTCCATCTGGTGCTAAGCCTTCTGTAAGCACTTTACGAGCTGTATATCAAAGGTTGAGGAAAAAGTAGGCTGGTTGGTTGTCATTCTCCTCCTGCTGTCATACCCATGAACCAAATAAAAAAATCAAAACACTTGGTGATCCCAAATTGAGTGGATATATTAAAAAAATGAACACGCACAGTAGGTAACTCAGTTTTAAAAGTAATATACAGTACAGTATCTATTTGTATTCATTTTACAACA